CTTGTTTAAAATGTTTGTTCCAGATGCACTGTAAGTGTATGACTGTTTTCAGGAAGAGGCTAAGACTGACACTGGAAAAGAGTTAATTCAGTGCTGGTGTTAGTATTGCTTCAGTCTTGGTTGCCTAAATGATGAGAATTTAAACCACAAAGTGCTGCTCTGTAGGTGTGAATGTGCATCCACAGACATGGGCGATGCTCGGTTCCCAAGGCATTGTGGGAGTTCTTCTGCATGCCTGTTGTCGGGAAGGGGTCGGGCCTTCCTTCTGACGCCGACTCCAGGGGGCTCGGATTTCAGGGTGTTTCTGCTGAGAGGGCTGGCGTTCCGTCTTGCCCAGTGGAAACTTGGCAGAGATTTACTGGGTCTAACATAAGCAGGGGTCGGGCCACTGAGCTCCCGGCATTACTGGAGTGGCGGGTTGTGTTCTGATTTAAAACCGCAGGCGCCCTCCCCTGGGCAGCTCCTTGGCACAAGTCAGATTCTCGGACGGAGACCCTAAAAACATCCAGCGCAATGTGAAACGAATAAGCAGAGCCTCTTATGAGCCTGCAGCAATAAATCAGCTCATTCTCCCACATGAAGGGCTGTGTTCCTACAGCATTTTCCTAATTTACCATGCTGTTTGGAAAGGGGGAGAGTTAAGTGGCAGCAGTAAATGTTTTCATTACTGTGGCTCTGTAAATACAGGTCTGATTGGAAAGTTATAAAGTGTCTTAGGTTGTCCAGAATGAAAATTGCTGCTTGGTTTGTGTATTAAAAGCAACCGCGCAGCTGCACTGAAATTTCACTGTCGTGGTCCAAACTTCTTCTTAACTTTTCATTGATTGTGTTGAAGGCGAGAGAGTGGAGACTTTTGTCCTCGCCATGATAGGATGTTAATATTGATTTGTTTTTTTTTGTTTTACATCTGTCCTTGTATTTACTGACACACAAGAATTGCTGCCACTGTATAAGCTGGCTGGCTAGCATTGAGGCGGGAATCGGCATCCATAAACCTGGAGTTCCAAGTTCATAAAACATTTGGAATTCCAGGAACCTGTAGGCAACTGAAAAGAAAACGGCTGAGCCGTCTGTTCTGCCCACGCTAAAACGTAGGGATGAATGAGCTGCCCTGTGTAGTCAAATCCCTGTGCTGCCTGTGCCGAGTTTCATAACATTTCATTTACATTGGCCTCAATTCACCTTTGTACCTGCAGGCATTTTCAAGCCCTGCTTTCCTGTAGATAAGCATCTTCTGTATTGTAAACGGGAAAGCTGACTGGCAGGTCTGATCTGTCCCAAGCCCTCATCTGTCTTCTCAAAGTCGGCCGACAGATTCACTGATCGTTCTCAAGATGCATACCTCCCTTTTAAAGAGAACTTGCAGTCATTTTATCATCACTAGATCCCGATTTAGCAAATCTTCACCCTCTGGTTGTTGGGCATTTCTTTATAGTCGGCTATAATTATAGCGTTGTGGGAGTAGAGAACAAGCTACAAAACCATGTAGTTGAAGTCGATACTGTGGATCCTTTGGCGGGATGAGATCTTCTGATCAATTAGCTCCTAATTGCCCAACAGGCCAGCTGACCTAGATGGCCTCCTGTGTTTTGTAATGTCGTCATAGATGGCACCACAACATGGTGTCCTGGTCTCACAGCTCTCTGGGGTCCTGAGCAAAACTCTAGCCGTGGTCTCCTTCGTATCCCTCCGTGTGTCTGTCTTTCTGGCTGCTGTAGTGTCCTCTCTCACAGCCCAGAGACATGCTAGCTGCACTGCTGTCTCTGAATGATCTCTGTGCGCGCGCCCAGTGATGAGCTGGTCTCCACTCTGGCTAGAATGTTGCCGCTATTACAAAAAAAATAATCTCATTTGCTTTTCTTTTCCGCCGTGAACTGCACAACATTCAATAATCCGACTCGTCTGTCACTCTTGTGTCCCGGCTACCCCCTGCCTGGGAAATAATGCTCTCTTGAGCACTGTACAAATGTAAATGCCGAGAACCGCAATGCAGTTTTTACTTGATAGGACTTTTGTCCTGCATTAGATGTTTTGGAAGGAACAAGCTTGCTTCAGTCCTCATTTTTTTGGGCAAATTGAAAGAAATGACTGTAATTCTAAGGATGAGTTTATGCCAAAGAGGAAAGGTTAAATGCTGCAAGCTTTTGGTGTCATGGTACAATACTACGGTACATTGTGTTGATTTATATAGCGCCTTGCAGCCAAGAGCTGCCCTTTAAAAGCACTGCCTAAAGTTGATATAAAATCAAATGCAAACAGAGGTTGAGGTGGAATCTGGGACAGAGTCCCATTAGACAGCTCCTTGAGATGCCACCTTGACTTTTACAGTTGTACTGTTAAAAGTGATCCTGAGCCCTGAGTCACCCCTCAGGGCAAGGACAGGTGTTAGGGTGATGGCAGAAGGATCTGAGCCTTGCAATGATTCATGTGTCAACAGAGGAACCTTGAAATGGGTACAGAAAGAGACTGGAAGCTCGTGGCTGCTGTTTAAGAATGCAAGCGACAAGGTTTCTAGTCCTAGCTGGGATGTTATCTGATTGCAAATCTGTCTTCTTACGGACTTTACTTTTAACCTGCTTCTAATCTGAGCTCCTCAAGCTCCTGTTCCCTGTGCTTCTTGCCTCCCTTAGATCTTCGAGCACTGACCCTCTGCCTTTCCTGGGAACTGAATCTGATCCCCTAGGTCAAAGAGCGATCAGGAGTCCAGGAATGCTGGATCTCTGTTCCTGGAGCAATGTTTGCCAGTCCTGGTCCTGGTCCCCTTAGTTCCAGCAGGGATTCATCGCAGATCAACATTCAGTTACTTAACTGAGCTCTTTGTTGAACTAATTTAAGAAAAGTTTAGAACCATCTTATGATCTGCGACTGGTATAGTAGGAGCTTTGGCTGGATAGAAAAAACAGCATGCACTGGGTTCACCAAGATCAGGACTGGGGAGTCCTGTCTTGCAGACGTGCTTGAGGCTAGTACTTTGTTTTCCAGGGAAATCAATATGTTGGAGAGGGATTACTGTCTTCCAGAGCTTGTCTGTAAGATTGTTTAACACCAAGAGCTGACCGTAGAGGGCCTGTTGCCCTCTCCCTACTGTCGCATTGCTCTGTGGTGACCTGACAGCTCTGTGATCCATCTCGTCACAGCTCTTTGAGGTGCCTGTACTGTATATAAAGTGACGATCAGGCAAAATGGCACCGTGGTGAATTAGTCCGTTTCTCATGGATCAACCCTAAACGGCCAGGATAGCAATGAGGAATGATCGTCATTGACGGCCATATTGCTCCTGTTACACATGACTGGTTTTAGATGCATCAGCTGAAACCTTAAGGCTTCCAAGTCAGGCAATGAGTTTTCACCATTGATACAGCACTCTGCCTTCCGTCGTTTAGTTTTCTTGCTCTAGGTTTATTGGAAGGACGGTCCACAGTCCGGAGAGTTTGCTGAATCCGAGCGCTCAGAAACCCGTGAGCTCGGGAAGCGGTTTCGCAGAGCCCGCTCTTTGGGAAAGACAAATGCCGATGGACGTTGTGCCTGCAGGGCGTTGGCATGCCCGCCGGCCGCAGCGCCGAACGGGTGGGATGGCTTCAAGCCCGCGAAATCGGTAGCGTGATCGGTAGCCGCTCATGTTTCCTTCTCCGGCCTGCGCCCGCGGTCACCTGCCCTCGGTGGCCGACGTGGCCCCTGCTTGGCGAGAGCGCGGCTGTCTCCGCCGTGCCTGCCTGCCTGCCTGCCTAGGAGAAGCGAGCCGTCTCCAGGGAAACGGAGAGATGGGAAGAAACGGACTGCCTCCCGCTCCCCCTCCCCCTCCCCCCTGCAGCTGCTGCCGAGTTACCGACCTGCTGATTGCTGGGGCTGCTGGCTTGTTACCTGGGAGGAGCCCTGGCTTCGGGGGGGGCGGGGTGCTCGGCAACCCCTGGCAATCCCCATCATCCCAGGGCAGCCTGGTACCTGTGCCTTCAGAGGCCTCTTCAGCCAGTGTGTCTCAGTAGCCCTCCTGTTTTACTTTGCCATCTCCGGGAGCTGGGTTATGAAAAGCAGACGTTTTTATGACTTTGGGCCACCTTGGGGGGTGGGGGGAGGCACCCTTTTTTTTCTCTGACAAAGAACTGACGGGTGTCTGTTCAGGGGCACCAGCTTCACTGTTCATCCACTGTAAGCGGATGGTTTCAGGATCTGTGTCGGCATCTAATGATTAGCTTGGAGGTGTTGGTGCATTTCTGTGATGGGCTGCTCGAGTTCAGCCATGTTGAGCTTTGTTGTATTAAGGACTCTGAACAGTCTTGATTGTCTTGTACTTCGGGGTCATTTTTATGGTTTTGTTTTTTAGCAAATCTAGACCTGCTGCTTTTTTTTCTCCTTGATCGCACCTTTTTGGTAGAGATGGGCAGATTTGGCAGGTTTCGGTGTTATCCAGGTAAATGTGACCTTTTTTCTCATTTGAACAGGTGCCTCCGCATTTGTGCAAGGATAATCGAATGGCCCATTGTCAAAGAGGTCATGTGCCGTTACAGTGCGACGTGTGGCTTCGCTGGACACTGACCATGTGGTTCCTCGTAGACCCATGTGTTGTCAGACTGACCCTGAATAATCGGGCCGAAGCGTCATGTCACAATTGTGCACGATGCTGTTCCATGAATTCGTTTTGGAAGAGCAGTGTGTTTTGCATTCGAAACTGTGAAATGAGATATAGGAATGTTTTGTTGTGTTAGGGTGGCTTTTTCAGAAATGGGCTCTACTCATAGTCAAGGATAGTCAAGAGGAGACTTGATTTTTAACCATCGACGCTAGGAAACATTTCAAAACAAGCTCAGAAAGCAGCAGGCATGCCAGCAAACAGGACCCTGCTTGAGTACTGTCAGCGCCAACGCTGAAATAAGCTTTTTTAGCACAGAGCATTATTCACTCCTGGGATTAATCTCGGCGCCACAACAGCACCCTCTCTCCATGCTGGGCTCTTCCGACACGGATCTCTCAACAGGCCCGTCCTTCCTCTCTTTCTCCCACAGCGACGTCCTCGCCCTCCCCATCTTCAAGCAGGAGGAGTCCAACCTCCCCCCCGACAATGAGAACAAGATCCTGCCCTTCCAGTACGTGCTGTGCGCCGCCACCTCGCCCGCCGTCAAGCTGCACGACGAGACGCTCACCTACCTCAACCAAGGTGAGGCCACTGTGGGCGTGAGGGACGAGCGCAGCTCTCCCTGTCCCTGGCCGGGGTCCGATCCCGGTCGCTCGCGGGCTCTGGACACGCACGGCTCTTCTCCCTAGACAGCAGATACTGTAACTCCCCCACACTGAAAAGCCAGGTCTTCTGCCGCTGGAGAGTCTACCTTCTCAGAGGGGGGGGTGACGTCACTTCTGTAACTCGGTGCTTGAGCCCTGTGACACCTACACTTTCCAGACAAACTCAGAACTAACTAAATAAACCTGAGCTGTCCAGTAATGAGCTGCCTGTTATGCCCTAAGAAAGGCAGTCCTTTAATTTGCACGTCTGATGGAAATGGGGTTCCTCAACAGTCATGAAGCAAGAACAGGAGAGATTGTATTCTGTGTTAGAGGAGGATGATGTCATTTCACTGACAGGCTCAGTGCGTGAAGCCTGTGACACAGGCGACGAGCTCCTCAGCTTGGAGGTGGAAGAGAATGAGCTGCTGCTAAAGGTGACCAAGTCTGGTTTCTTTTGTTTCCCACCTGTGCCAGTTGCTGTCCAAAGTGATTAGGAGGAGGAAAAAAAAAAAGATGGATCTGCAGTGGCTGGTGTTGCGTGTAGCGACTGCATAGTCCTCAACAGTGAAAGGTTTGAGAAACAGGGTTCAGCTAGTTTAATGGAGGATTAATTGAAACCTATTGTAACCCTCCAATACAATTAAGGAGGTTTAAGGAGATCTTGGTGGGCAGCCGTTGTCAACGCTTGGTGTTGGTAGACCCCTACTTGAAGCCAAATAAGGCTACTTATTCCCTTCCTCGTGTTTAAGGGCAATCCTATGAAATCCGAATGCTAGACAACCGGAAGATGGGAGAATTGCCGGAAATTACAGGGAAGCTGGTGAAGGTAAGTTGTTTTAATGCAGTTTTTACTGTGCTTGTGAAGGATACTGGCGATTGAAAGTTTTATAATCTGCTTCCTTGTTTGGACATGAATACACATGAGCTTTAATTAGCCAGAAAGGCGTACTGTAAATGATGCTTATACACAGCCGGTCGCTTTCCACTTAAGCCTTAACTTGCCAAGTGCTGCGTTGCTCCAGAAGGCAGGCCTGGAAGCATGTTCCCAGCTCTCTGTGTTCTCCTCCCTGACCCTCCTTCCCGGCAGAGCATCATCCGCGTGGTGTTTCACGACCGGCGCTTGCAGTACACCGAGCACCAGCAGCTGGAGGGCTGGCGCTGGAACCGGCCGGGAGACCGCATCCTCGACCTGGGTGAGCGCTCGGTGTGGAGGGGCGGGGCCGGTGCTCTGCATGACTGAAGGGGCGGGGCTACACTGGGCAGGGCGTGGTTAGTCCTAGTGGGTGGGGCCTGCCTGTTGGAGGAGGCGGGTTGATGGGTGGGGCTTTGTCTTGGGGGTGAAGCGGGTGAGGAGGCATTATCATGGAAGGTGGAGATCGGAGTCAGTGGGTGTGTTTGCAAGGTGGTGTGAGGCTTTAGAGAGAAGGGGAGACCTGCTAGCAAGTGAGACTCACTATGAGTAGTCGGGTGAGGGGTGCAGTTGCTGATGAGGCTGGAACTAATTGGCATTAGTGTGTTCATTTGATTTGTTTTACTCTGGGGTACATCATGTTTTTACCCATGTTTTCTTGGTTTGAGTTTTCAGCACCTTACACATGCATTTACTATGCAAATTAATAGTGTAATGTCACTGCTGTGTGCTTTGTTACTATGGCAGCACTACCAGAAAGCACACCAGTAGTGACAGTTATTGTAAAGTACAGTCAAAACCTGGTAAGATAAGAGTTTTACTGGGGTTCATTAACTTTGGCAAATAACTGAAATGCACAAGGCTTCCTTGGTCAGAACATTCAGAACTTGACTGAGCTGCTAAAAAAAGAAACAAGAGCATCTTAAGTGTGTTTCAGAGTAAAAATAACTCGGGCATGTGAGTGAGGCAGATGATTAGTTTGCATTTGCTAAGGACAGCGAATATTTGTGCTTGCTTGTCTATTTTATGCAGGCCTGGTAGCTACATAAGAGTTTAGAAATGAGAGAAAGCCATTTAGGTTAGTTGTTTTGGGGAACTTATTCAGCTGCTCTTGAAAGAAACATGGGTGTATAGGTTATTTCCAAATTTCCACAACCTTTTGTGTTACGAAAGTGATGTAGCTGTTGGCCCCTTTTTCCAGCCAGTACAAAAGTAAATAAACCTACATCAAGAGAGTACTTGGCTCTGGTCATGTTCAAGCAGGAAGTGATGTAATACTGTGTGGTTTTGAAGGCAAGGCATGTGGAAATTCTCTGCGAATCAAAGTTACTGTTGCATAGCAACCACATTAGAATTATTTTCCATTAGGAGAAAGCTGTTTCAAAATATTACCACAAACAATGTGTAACCTCTCAGCCAAATGTATGAAAAAAAGGAATTTGCTTGGATCGGTTCCAAGGAATTTGCTTGGATTGCTTGGAAATTTTAAAATAGCATAAATGAGTTTTTAATTGGGCAGGGAAACTAGTTTCTTACTCCAGAGCAGTTTAATCTGTCTTGTGTATTATGATTTGCTGGGTCAAAATATACTAATTGTACCGATGAAGCAGAAAAACAGTAATTTTCAATTTGTTTTATTTTCACGCATCTCTGTACTGATGGGCTCAGAAGAAGGAAAGAAGCTTGTAAGTGTTTCAGGATCTGTTGTTGGCGTGAATCAGGAGCTGCAGGTGTTGAAAGTTTCGGGCGGAGTAACATCCTTTGTTCTTGTCTTACTGTCCAAGACCGCGATGACAGGAGAAAGGGTTATGAGCTATATCGAATCCAGCTGTCCGTTTGCAGTATTGAATCTGGGGTAACACTGAATCTGGTGTAGGGGTTCCTGCATGGCTTCTGCTGGTAGCTCAGGATGAGCCCTTTAGTGCAGAAACTGCCAGATAGAATCTGGGCTTGGTCATTGTCAGACGGTTGAGGAGATCCAACATGGGGATCTCAGCATGGTGGGTGGGGGGGATCAGCTGTCCGAGCTGTCCTGGAGGGGTGGTGTGAGCAGGGCCCACTTGCCAGTCCGTGAGGCTGCCACCTAGTGGCTTTGCTGCGCTCCTGCATGCTTGCAGTGCATTCCTCTGTTCCAGGGCCCCGGTAGTTGACAGCCCTGGTGCCGTCTAGTCACCAGTGGCAAAAAGAGCCACTGCATTCACTCCCTGAACTGGAGGGAGGAGAGTCAGGGGGTGTCCTCCTGTCCTGCAGGGGCGCACTGCCCAGGGCCTGGAGGCCTGCAGTGTCTTCAAGTGTTCTAAATCGCCTAATTAGTGACTTAATTGATTTTGGGAATTTAAAGATATTGGAAAGGCTGAATCATGGCCTTCCAAGGAGGAGGGTTAGCACAAGGGAATTGGAATGAAACATGGCAGCTGAACCTGGCCTTAATTCTGCAGCTCTCTTCTCCTGCAGATATCCCAATGTCCGTGGGCATGATCGACCCCAGAGCAAACCCTACTCAGCTCAACACTGTGGAGTTCCTGTGGGATCCTTCCAAGAGGACCTCTGTGTTCATCCAGGTATCCAGAATTGCAGAAACATTGTAGCATAGCTAAGTTTTTCCCCATTTCTATCAGAATGTTAGTTTCTCCACATTTTGCAGAAGGAATCAAATATTATTTTTTTTAATTTGCTATAACAACCTTTGCAACAATCGGCCTGAGGGCACTTTACCGAAGTACACAAGTTAATGTAGCAACAGCTGGAACCTGAAAGGGTAGTATTTCTGCAAGGTACCAATAAATCAGCCATGCTGAGATTGTGTTGATGCCCTTTGATACAAAAACCTTTTGGAGAAATTCATTTAACTAATTCACACATCAGAATCTAGAGATCGCTGGTCAGAAAACTGCTTCGAGCCTACTAGGCCAGCTTCAACCAGTCTTCACTGATCCCTTTATGGTGTATTCCCGCCAGTAGAAATAATCTATAAAGTCGTGAGTCGGGGCTTCATAGAGGAAGAAGAGAAGATTTTTCAGTGAGAAGTGACACCAGACTGCAGAATCGAATCAAAGTGCACGCCGGCCAGAGTTCATTGCTCAAAGAACTCGAAGTGAATAGTGGTCAACAGTATATGAGTACTTCTTCCTTTTTTTTTACTCCAAAACAAAGGTTCAGACAATGGAATTGCTGTAAATGAACTTGAAATAAATCAGAAGTTTAATGTCCAGTTAGACCCTGACACTGTATGAGCCTGTGGAAATGGCTGGGGGATTTGCACAATACAGGATGTTTGCCAAGAGCATGAGTTCCTCCAGCGTCGTGATGCTACCTCTAGGTCCTGGAGAGCCGAGATTTAGGATTAAGAATGCTAAATGAAATTGGGGGTCAGGCAGCTCCAGTGCATGGTACAAAGTGTTGCTTGAGTACTTTCACCTATGTGATCATGCACAGTCCTATGCTGCCTCTCCCAGCTGTGTTGTTGTTGTAGTTATTAGAATGATAATTGGCAACCATGCGTACGTTCTGCTTCGGTCTAGGTGCACTGCATCAGCACGGAGTTCACCATGCGGAAACACGGGGGGGAGAAGGGGGTGCCCTTCCGGATCCAGATCGACACCTTCAAGGAGAACGAGAACGGGGAGTACACCGAGCACCTGCACTCTGCCAGCTGCCAGATCAAGGTCTTCAAGGTGAGTGCTGAGGGGGCGCCAGCCTGGCATTGATCCCCAGGAGTGCCTTATGCACCTCAGGAAAGGGCACTATGGCGGGGAGGGGGCAGCTGGTTTATTGGGGTTTCTGTTTGTGGCACTGTGTCTTTAGTGAACAGATTTGTCAAATTCTGGGCCAACTTTCTCTAAACCAACTGCCTTTTTTAAGCATTGAGCTCTTCGGGTAGTTGCATATCACATGCAGCAGTGTTGAGTCCAGGCTCATAAAAATCCCCTGAGGCTCTCCTGCCCGGGCGCTGGGCTGCAGCGTGTTCAGCATGGTGGGGGGTTCTTCCACTGCTTGTGTCATGTGTTCTGAGGGTCTGCAAGTTCCGATCAGGTTAAGCCGGCGGAGTTCGTGCTGGGGGCGACTTGTCCCTGATCCGCCATGTGTCCACGTGGGTTTGAACATTTTCCACAGTGGTTCCTCGTTTTGTTTTCTTGATCCGCGCAGCCCAAAGGGGCGGACAGGAAGCAGAAGACGGATCGGGAGAAGATGGAGAAGAGAACGCCGCAGGAGAAGGAGAAATACCAGCCGTCCTACGAGACCACCATCCTGACTGAGGTCTGCGAGGTTTCGTGAGAATTTCGGGAGGAGGGTGGGGGGATTTTCAGATCTGAGCCCCAATGGCTCAACTCTGTGGCTCACTTACACGGCTGGGTGGACTGGCGCCAAGTGTGGTAACGCACACTTCTGGGGGGCTCGAACCCCTTACCCCTCAGTCACGAGTCCAGAACCTTACCCACTACGCTAGCCCATCCCTAGAGTGGGAGGTCCTCCTGAGACTTGGGTCCCCTTGGCTTTTGACTGCAACTCTCAATACAGATGTTGCATTTCATGAAGTAGAATGACAGTCTGAGTGGTGTGTATTAGCACATGGCTCTTCAGGAATGTGTATGCTTGCATAGAAGTGGCTATCGAAGTATCCTGTATTCTGTGATTGCTTGATAACAAAAGAAAATAGTATCGGAACAGACATAGGAAGTTTTAAGTGTTTGTTTGCAGGGCTGTATTGTTAAAGAGAAACTTGTGTTGTTTGCCCCCACTGTTGCCAACAGTGTGTCCAAATATGAGCATATTTGATTGCGGAAATGCATTGTGGTTGCTTCTTGGTGACCCCCAGCTTGCAGAAGTGAGCCCTGCCTACACCGCTGCCAAAACAACTCTAGCAGCTGACAAGCAGCCCTAGTTTCAGTTAGACCAGACAAGTAGCATAATATTTATCATGCTGTCTAATAATTATGCCACAAAGCCGTGCCATTATGAAGTCAACCAGCTTTAACTCTTTACCGTGCATCATTGCCTGGTCATATACACAAACAAGTGAACAATGGCGGCAATAAATACTTCACTTGACTTCTTCGGGTCACTCTTAAGCTCCCATGACATGTAGGCGATGCCACGTGGTCACTTAAAGTGGGGTTTTTAAGTTCTCATTCAGGTTGTTTCAGTGCGGTTTCTCATCTCTGTCTGTGGCTTTTGGAGGTGTAACCCGAATCGCCCGTCTCCTCCCACAGTGTTCTCCGTGGCCAGAGATTTCCTACGTGAACAATTCCCCGTCTCCGGGCTTCAACAGCACGCACAACAGCTTCACCGCGTCGGAGGGGTAAGCCTGTCGGACAACAGCGCGGCTGGCCC